TCCTTAAATGTGATTTGACTACTCTTAACCTTTTGTTCCTCTATATGAATTTAAGAATAAACTTAAGTTTGATAAAAAAAAACCAAAAACCTGATTAGGATTTTGTTTGGAATTGCATGACATTAAAGATAAATTAGGGAAGAATTATCATGTTAAAAACCATGAAGTGTCTAAAATTCTACTCTAGTTGCAAACTCATATGTCAGACTGACACAATTTTAGGGATAGTGGCAGAAGACACAAGACTCCTGGGTCAGAGACTAAGGTCTTTATTACTTACAGCAACGGCTGTAGCCAGAGTATCAGCATTTTCTTGTGCAGGTTCCAAAGACTCAATTTTCACAGGAAATATGAAGAGGGTGGGGTGACACCAGTATATGTAGTAGGTTGCATGACAGGAGAGAAATACTGAATTTAGGAAACATGAAAATTTTACACTGGACAGTAAACATGTCTGCCCTTTGCTTTAGAGGGAGCTGCTATATCTTCAAAGGCTATTCACCATAAAAACATCCTTGAGAAGATAGTCCAGAGCAAAGGTAGCAAGCACCTCTGCTTGCAAGATGTGCAGAAGAGCAAGAGGTCCATCAAGAATTGTCTCCTGACATAACACCTTTAGGATATTAAGTCCTCCTATCCATGAACATGTTACCTCTCTACATTTTTTTGTCTTTAAATATAGTTTTATAATTTACCTATAAAAGTCATGCTACTTTATGTATTTGTTGCTTTTATAAAAAGCACTTTTTGAAATTTCATTTTTCTACTTCATCATTGGCATACAGAACATAAATGACACTATTTCCAACTTGCTTTTATACTTTCTTATTAATTATAATTTGTAGATTTTTGGGGCATTTGTCTATGTAGAAATTCCTGTCAGCTTTACATAGTTCAATTTGTTTATTCTTTATTTTTTCAATCAGAAGTAGTAGTAACAGTAAACATTCTTGTTTGGGGTCTGGAGAGAATGTTTCTTATGTTTCAATGTGAAATGATGTTGGTTCTGTGTTTTTGGTAAAAAAAATCAAACCATACCATGTTAAAGATATTTCTTTCTATTCTTAGTTTGCTTAGATTCTTTATCATAAATGAATATTGAATTTTTTTTGCATGCTTTTATTGTCTATATTGAGAATAACATACATACATTTTTTCACTTTAATCTGTTAATGTGCACTGTAGTTTGAATGTTTGTGTCTCTTCCAATGTCCCTGTTGAAACTTAATCAGCAATGCAACAGTATTAAGAGGTAGGGCCTTTAAAAGGTGGCTTAGTGCTCTTCTGCTTTCTGCCATGTTAGAACACAATATTCAAGGCACCGTCATGGAAACAGAGACCAGGCCCTCACCAGACACTGAACTTGCCAGTGTCTTGCTCTTGGACTTTCCAGCCTCCAGAACTGTGAGAAATAAATTTCTATCATTTATAAATTACCCAGTCTGTGGTATTTTGTTAAAGCAGAAGAAACAGACTAAGACAATGTGCTAAACCTAACTTGGCTATTGTGTTTGCTAATAGTTTGTTTAGGATTTTTGCATTATGTCCATGAGTAAGATATGCTTATAAATTTCATTTCTTATACTATTATTGCATGGTTTTGATAGAAAGTTAGACTTGCCTCATAGAATTTGGACCCACTTCAGTAAGATTTTTGCCCTCACCACACCATCAAAATTGCTCTTATCAAAGATGCTGATAGAGTTTGGACGTGTTGTTCCCCCAAAACTCATGTGGAAATCTGGTCCCCAATGTTGCAGTGTTGGGAGCTCTTTGAGTCATGGGGGCAGATCCCTCATGAATGGATTAATGCTCTCCCTGGGGTGTGGGGGTAGTGAGTGAGTTCTCTCTCTTTTAGTTCCTGTGAGAGCTGGTTGTTTAGAAGAACCTGGCACCTCCCCCCCCCCTTGCTTCCTCTCACTCTGTGATGTGCTTGTGCCTGCCGGCTGCCTGCTGCTTTCCACCATGAGTAGAAGCAGCCTGAGGCCCATGCCAGATGTAGCTGTCCTAGAATCATGAGCCAAATAAACCCCTGTTCTTTATCAATTATCCAGTCTCAGGTGTTCTATTATAGCAACACAAAAAATGGACTAATACAGATGCTAATGATCTCCATGTTGCCAACTGCAATGGTCAATTCTTAACCCTCATCTTACCTATCAGCATCATATGGCATATTTGATTACTCTTTTCTCCTTGAAAGACTTTCTTCACTTTCTAGGACAGCACACACTCTGGGTTTTCCTTCTACCTCTCAGGTTATTCCTTCTCATTTTCTTCAATGAGTTTTCTTCATCTTCCTGATTTCCAAATTTTGGAGTGGCCAAAGGCACCATACTTACACCTCTTCTCTTTCTATACAAACTAATGAGTGATCAAGGGTAATGATTACAGACAAGCTCATGGCTTTAAATGCCATCTATATACCATCTATATCCCTCTCCTCTGAACTGATATGCAACTGCATACTCAACAAACTCACTTGGATGTCTAATTGGCATCTCAAGATTAATTCACCCCAAATTGAGTTTCTGGCATTCTCCTCCAAAACCTCTTTTTTGCATCCTTCTTCACAAACAAATAGGAACTCCATTGTCTCTTTAAACATTGCCTTTCCCCTAATCTATTTTTTCTTCTTCAAGATTAGATGCATATATGTTGGAAAGTCTCATACTGTACCCCTTGTGCCTTAAGCTTCAGTCTTAAGCATGGAAATTATCCACTCAGAAGGAAAAAGACTATTTTCCTTCAATTCTCTTTTTACTTTACTCAGGTCTACCTTTCAGTTTATATATTCTCCCTCTAACAATGTCTCCTCTGCTACTCAAGCTTTTCATTTTAACTTTCAACTACTGTATTTTTCATTTCTAAAAACTCTAGTTCTTTTAAAAAATGTATCTGTTCATTTTTGGCAGTTTCTTTTCGCCCATACATATTAAATAACTTTTTTTTATATCAAACATACTTAATTTTGTATTATATATCTGAAAATTTATTATTGAAGCCTTTGAGGATGTGGATCTATTTTTTGTTGTTTCTGATAACTTACACTACTAATGCTGGGTTATTTCCTTGTTTTCCTCTGTGATTTATTTTAGATTGTGAGTTTATATTTGTTGGAACTCTACATGTGGGGTTTCTTTCAAGGCCTGGATTAAGAGAAACTCTCTCCAGGATTTTTGTCTGCTTTTGTCAGGCTGTGAGCACTACTGACATGAATCCTCTTAAAAATATAATTATCATTAACACAAACTTTGCGAATAGTGTAGATTCAGTTATTAAGTCTACGTGAATGTTAGTCAGTGGCTGTTAATTTGTAGGGGAGCCTTTAAAAAAAAATCCATGATAGCCAAGGCTGAGAATGGTTATTTTCCTTACTATGTGCCTGTTCAATTTTTTGATTTGCTTTATTTTAGTTCACTGTTTTTAAAAGGATATAGCCTTTCAGGGATCCAGGCTTTATATGAGATGAACTCTGATCTGATTCTCAATTATTCACTGGCCCAAAGTCTTCTACACATTCTCTAGGATATGGTGATCAGTATAGTCTCCCATATTCTGATAGTTTCCAGGCTTATCTCTTTAATGATAAAAGTTTGACATATGCATCAGACTTGCCTGGAGGATTTGCTAAAGCACAGATTCCTTGGTCTTACTTCCTGAGATTCTGAGTTAGTAGATCTGGAGTGGGGCCTAAGAATTTGTATTTCTACATTCCGAGGTGATGATGTGATTAGTCTGGGAACCACACTTTGAGAACCACTTCTCTAGACCAGGGGTTGGCAAATTTTTCTGTGAAGGGCCAGATAGTAAATATTTTGTACTTTTGAACCACATGGCCTTTGTGGCAACCTCTCAACTTTGCTGCCATAGCATGAAAGCAGCCATGAAGAATACAAAAACAAATGGGTGTGGTTTTCCAATAAAACTTTATTTACAAAAACATGCATCTGGCCATGTTTGGCCCAGGGGCCATACTTTGTCAACCCCTGTTCTAGATTGCTGTTCCCACTCTGTTCCTGGCCACAAAAGCTTTCCTTTGCTTTATTGCAGACAAATCCAGTCATTTAAAAGAGTTGTAAAGAAATTTTTAATGAACATTTTTAGATGTTACATAGCAGAGTATCTGTCAGGATCTTGCTCCCACCATATTGCCAGAAGTGGAAGTCCTACACTTAAATTTCTACTTGTTGAAAGAATTTAGGACAAGACTTTTCCAGCAGATCTGATCTTTCCTACAAGTAAAATTTCTTTAGTAGACTATGAAAAGTTTGAGTCACCGTTGTTTTCCTAGAACCTTTTCCCACTCATTGTCCCTATTGAACACACCCTCCTACTACACTCAGTTACCTCGGGGCCCTGACTTGCCATGCTGTCTTTTTCCCTCACGCCTTTGCACATATTTTTCCACTTTCCAGGTTGCCCTGTCTTTCTTCACCACAGTTAAGTTTGGTAAATTCCTGCTGCTCCTTCACCCCTTACTAAAAAGCTCTTCCTCTGTGAAGTGCTACCTTCCCCAAACTACTACTCTGTCCTGGGTGTGCTCCCTACACATATGCCTGTTATTACATCTATCCTACGCCAGGGCCATTGTTAGTTTCCCAGAACACCTCCTTGTTAGGCTATGAGCAACTTGAGGGTGGAAATGAGTTTCATTTCTCATTAAATCCCCAGTGCCTGGCACATGTTTGTTAGTCAATAAATGTTTTATTTATTTATGATTACTTTTGAAGAATTGAATAAATGGCTAAGTATATGAATGACTATTTAGGGAATGAGATTTTAAACCCTCGTTTTAAACCCTTGAGGTTTTACTCTTATCTCAATAATCACTGACCAAATTAGAACCTCCTAAACCCAGTCCTGTTTATTATTCTGGGAGAGTCAAACCCACAGAAGTCTGTAGTGAAACATACAAGGACATGAACCACTGCATGCATCATACCCAAACAGCACCAGGGAAGTCACTCATTGTCTCTAAAATAAAACAAAAGACACAGTGTTTTGTTTCATTTTTATTGCAACCCATTGCAAGGTCAAAAGGTTCACGGAAATATAGAAACTACAAACTGGGTGAATTTTCTTTATCCACTCAAAAAGACATTGAAGACAAAGGACCAGAATTTTCCACTACAGCAATATATTTCATACTCTTTATTCTGAAAATACTGTTGACATTTTGGAGAGGATAAAAAGCCCTGCATTAAATGTGTTCACATGTATTTATGACATTCTAAGCAAAAAAAGAAACTCTATATTGCCCAGAAAAATTATTTTAAGCCTCATTTCAAAGCATCTGATGAGAACACATTCAACAACCATCACGGGATCACTCATGGTGATGCATTTTCTGGATGTTTTTTGAGATTAATGCTTTGAGGCTGGATATGATATTTCTATAGATTTCTACAAATGTACCAAAGCAGTTTTCCAGGTTATGTTGCATCAGGCGTTCTGGATTAGTCAACATCTCAGATAATAAGTGCAAGTTCCCACCCTTCCCACCCCCCCCAAGCTAAAGCATGTTATAGTGCTGTACTTTAGATTCAAACAATGCAACATTAAAAAGAAAAAAAACTATACACTCTGAAAACATTTGATAACCAAACTGTAACACCTCAAAGATTATTACAACTTTGAACTGAAATGGTACCATCTATATCATAAATGACTCTCGCTTCTTTTGTCTTTTTTTAACTATTTAAAATATAGTGTGACATATATAAAAATTAAACTTTTGCTTATTCACTCAAGCTACTATTACTATACATACTGTCTTATAAATTAGTTTTGGGTTAAAAATCAGTTAAAATATTGTGAAATAATATTTTTCAATGGTGGGAAAATGGATATGAAAATGATACAGTTTGATATGTAAGAAAAAATATAGTTTATTAATGGTAAACATCTTTTTTCTTACACAAATTTTATTCCTTTCAAATTAAATTAGTAGCCCATTTAGTAATGGGAAGAATACTCTTTGTACTTACTGACTAGATTTCCTTAACTGATTGGGGTTAAAAACAAAGAAATGCCATATGAGAACCCTGTTGACATAATCAAAGGAAACAGTTGTTTGCAAAAAAGGAGTCATTATAAATAAGTAAATGGCATTCCAATGTAAAGCTATCTTTTGTTTCTTAACAGTGAATATCATTTTAGCAATATTGAGACATAGAAAATGAAATTCAAGCCTCAGTATATTTGTTAAAAGACCAAATAAGTTATGTCCACATCAGGAAAGAATAAATAGCAAATTCACAAGTCAGGGTTTTGTTTCTAGTTCTATTGTGAAAGATGATCACTCTTTAGCTTAAAAAGGCTCCTTGCTGTCTTGATTATAAACCTAGACACAGGAAAGGTTATGCGAGCCTGAGTCTCTACTTCAAATCAATTGCAACGATGTGTGAAATCAAAACAAATATTCATTTACTGATAGGTATTGTCTTAACTGAAAGCTGGCAATCTTTAATTAAACAAAGAAATGCTTATTTCTGACAAGTGTAAACAGAATTTTCATACCCAGATTTTCTAATTTTTCTCCTTAACTCATACATTAGCTAGCAATTGATCTTTGCAATAGCATAAGAACTATTCAAAAAATAAAAACATGCATATATCTAAAAAACCTGCCCTACAACTCAAAGCAAAGCAAAAGAAAAAAAGTAACAAAAGATTGTCTACTTGTATCTCATCTCTCTATTAATGTTAAAAATCTCAAATACACTTTCATAATTACCAAAATAAACAGAATAATGAAATGATCTGTAGTTCTTTTAAGAACTGCACACCATTAATAACATCGGTGACTTTAATATGGATAATGCTAAGATTAACTATGAATACCGTTAAAATATATTCCAACCAGTTACTCACCATGAAATAAGAGCTAACATAATGTTAACGTAAAACCAACTAAAATATTTAGTATTCAACAGAATGCATTTGTACAATAATGAATAATTAACTTTTGTGGGCTGGCAAGGGGAATTCTGATTGTTGCTTCCATATAAAAATTTACAAAAGGCTTTATTCTCTCTAGTCCTTATCACAACCAGACAGGAAGTTGGCCACCTGTGGATACACTGAGTTAATCAGAGCCCCAGTGGATGACATGCTCCCTCAGTGGCCTGGAGGAAGGCCACTCTGAAAGAAAGAAACTGCCCTCCTGTGTGTGCACACACACGTGTGCAAGTGCACACATGTGTGCGACTATGTGAGAGACTGTGAGTGCCCGTGTGTGTGTGTGTGTGCTTGGAATTTTGAAAAGTACTGGTTTCCAGGCTTCTAATTAGAACAACATCACTTCTGTTCTGGTTACCATCAGTAGAAGCGCACAATTCTATCCCAGCAAAAAAAAGGAGGACTTCTTTTTTGAGCATCTCCAAGTGTCAGTAAGTAGAAGCTCAAAATAATACATCCAAGTTTTTGACTCTACATTAAAAAAAATTTGTTTAGAGAAATCAGCCTTTGAGCTTAAAAACTAAAAGATTTGTGGTTTTTCTAATCTTTAATTTTCAAGAAAAAAAGCCAGCTCACCTGGGAACAAATAACAACTGCGCTTATGCTATGCAGTATGCAAACAAGACACAAATATACACACTCTGGTACACAAGCAGACAGGTGACAGTTAAAACCTTTCTAAGAGATCGCCCACCCTAAATCTCCAACTCCCCTGCGACCTGCTGAATGATCCGAGTGGACCTAAGCCTGGACAGGAGTGTCAGGAGGAGGCAGCAGACATGTTGGGGGTCCAGCCCATCTGGTAGGCTCTCTCCAAGGTCCTCTTGCAGTCCTGGAGGACAGTGCTGAAGGTGATGTGGGGGTACTGCTGCACCAGTTGTTCCACCGTCACCTCATTGACCTGCAACCAAAGAAAAACAACCATCATGCACAGGGACCAGCAGCAACATGCAGCTGCCCATGCTCACTGGTGTTTGGTGGCCTGCTTACTGGGGCATAGGGGGGCCCTCGCCTCAGTCTTTCCTAGTTACGTGAGGAAGTGTTTTGTGAGAAGATGCACGCCCCCTTTCGCCTGACCTCTCTGATTTTCCAGTACTACATATATGTCCTTAGTGATTTTTTAAAAAAGACATGATATCAAGAAATCAAATGTGTTTTCTAGAAGCATAAATGACCATGACTTGACAAGATCTTAACAATCTGCATTGAAAATCTAGAGCTTGAGAGGTAAGGAAGCAGTAAGATAGGATTCTAATGTGCATTTAACTTCATCATCAACCTTTTTAGGACGAAAACTGTACAATGGGGGAGAGGATACACAAGATTCTAGATAGGTGTGTTGGGGAAGATGTTTATTTTTCTTCCCTTTAAATGTTAAGGTATTGCAAACTTCAAGTCCCTTTGTGAAAAGGGCTGCAATGTGAGGAATCAATAATTAAAACATACATGGCTGGCAAGTCAGGGATGGCCCCAGTAGACCTTAACCATCAAAGATACCACCTTGATTCTTGATTAGACAAGGCAATCAGACAGGCCTAATTAAAACTAACACCTTTACAATTGCTGTGCTGTGAAGGGATTAATTTGTCAATTATTTTTAAGCTGATTGCAGTCCATATCACAGAAGTAGACAGCTTCCTTCATCCTTTAGATAAATAAATGATTAACCTAAGAACCACAACTTTTAGGTAGCTTTATTTAAAATCTTTATTGAGCACTTGGGCATTTTCAAATACATCAATATTTCATTTATACTGAGTAAGCTAGTCTGAAAGAAGGTACCTGTGATACACATTTCTGAGCATCCTTTCTGATGTTCATTATTAAAAAAGATCAGGACCACCAGGAAAACGTAAAGCAACATCAAACCCTTGCTGCTTGCTTTGAAAGCCTGCTTAGAAGTATGACGACCATAGAGTTCAGTTGTTTGCACTTTTCTGAAATAACATGGTATCTTCTGGGGGATCTGGAAAATTATGTTATATATCAATCTTTATTTTATTATTGAGACTTGATATTTCAACACTGTATTGAAGATATTTTGTCAGAAAATTTCTCTGTTGAAGACTTGCTTGTATTTAAATCAACTTTTATTCCAAATTCAACTAAGCCATGCAATTAATTCTTTTTGTGATATAACTATGATGTATAACATTTTGTTTTCAAAAACAAGAAGATAATTTCGAATAAAAAAAGAAAAAAATGATATACAAATTAGAGTTGAGAATATGAATTGATAGTCTTAAGATAACTTTTCAGCAATACGATTTTTTATTTTTTAATTTAAATGTATACCCCAAGGCTTGTTTGAGACAGCTTATTATAGTACACTTAGAAGCTCATGCATCATCTAGCCCTGCCTATCTCTCTAACATATTTTTGACACTATCAGGCCACTTGGCCTAATTTCAGTTTTATAAGCCATTCAAGTTCCTTCTGGCCTCATAGTCTTTGCATATGCTGTTCTCTTTGCCTGGAATATTTTTTAATCCACTTCCCCATTATACCCCCTTCTGATGCCTACTTTTGAGTTCTTAGTTTCAATGTCATTTCCTCAGGAAACCTTGATCACTGCCCCATCCCTGCTTCCAAATTAGGTGAGGCTTTCGGGTCATTCACTCTTCCAACACTGCCTATTTTTCCTTCATAGTACTTATTATTATATTACTAAGTTTATAATTGCTTTGTTTAATGTCTATTTCTCTTGCTCCACTGTAAGATCTACAAGAGCTATGATCATTTTTGTATCCACAAGCCAGGCATAGTTGTTAGCGAATAAATGATAAAAAAAAAATAACAAACTACAAATAAAAGATAGGAGCAAGGCAAAGTGACCTACTAACATACTAATCACAAAGACCAATGATTTCCTGAAGAACTCATCATCAGCTCAAGAATCCCTTCTTCAGGGAAGCCCTCATAAGCAATGCCCTCTCCCGACTAGGGTTAGGCACACACGGCAGGTACCCTGCAAGGCCTGTCCTCTGTGTGAGCACTCGCACACTATATTGCAATCATCTCTTCACTTGCCTATCTCTTCCCCTGAATAAAAGCCTCTGGAGACCAGAGATTGCCTTTTATCTTTAAAGCTATCAAGTTGTACACAAAGTAGAGAACAAACATGGCAACTGTGGTTCCTATCATGGACTTTGGAGCCAACCAGACACAGCTTTGAATCCTGCCTTCACTTAACTTCTTAAGATTTGGTTTCCTCAACTGTAAAGACAGGATAAAAGGACTTTTGTCACTGGATTATTCTAAAGATTAAATGCAATAATATGCCTAACACTGTGACTGGCATAAAAAGCTCCCCAAATTTAACATCCCTACAGTAGGCACTCAATAAATGGTTATTGACTGTAAGAGTTAATCAATGATACCTTAGGGCAACCAGTTCTCTATAGTGCTGATCAATACTGTTTCACTTCTAAAATATCTCAGAAATAAACCTTGATAACACTAGTTATAATGTTCAAAATAAAATAATCACAGGACAAGAAGTAACCTTTAGAACATAATTCATATACACAAAGTATTTATCTTAATGCTTTCTGGAGGTGATTCCAGAACTTTCCTTAATAACATAGTCCAGGTTTTAAATATTCACCATCAGGAAATTCTCCATTTTCTTTAACCAGTGTTCCCCATTCTGCAGTTAGGTTACCTTCCTCCCTCCTGCCATAAACAAACTGGGAAGGACGAAGATTTCACTAAGGGAGAGCTAAAGTCATTTTGTCAGGAGAATCCTTGGAAAATCTGCATTTTATTGCAAAGGAAGTAAACACAGTCCAGGCCACTTAGCATTCAAGGAACTACTAACTAAAAATAGATGAGAAAGGAATGGAAAAGAGAAAACATTTCAACCTACCATAAAGACAGAGACTGTTTTCTATGGTACATCTTTTCCAGTCTACACACGGGCCTGTACAAAGGTTTGTACCTAGGAGTTGACAGGCAATTTGTTTTGAAGGACCAGTTTTTAAAAATAGAAAATATCTCTATATGACAACTGTTTTCCAGGAAGAGGTATCCAATTCACCTTAAGCAAACTTGATACTTGAATATATGGATTTATAAAGTATATAAATTAGGGGATTATTGTTCACTTTAGTCAAGACTTTCATACAAGGGTTAATTTATTTTGTCAGCTCCCTAATGTATTTTATATATCTTTGGCTTTACCAAAATTCAGTTTATCTGTCTCTGTTTAGTATAAAGTAAGGTACACCTGTAATTGGGAATATATATGATGGTGTGTTAATTCTCTGGCTTTCATAGGTTAAGAGTAAGAGTAGATAATAATTTGGCTTTGTGTAGCTGCATGAAAATGGCACCACTATTCCTCTGTGGATATAATGTCTTCTAAGCTACGGTTTTGCTCATCGTACTCTGCAAATTCTAGAAAACCAAGCACTGGGGAAAATACAAATATTCCATTTTAGGGCTTTGTTGGGTAGAAGTTATTCAAGGGAAATACATGTGCTACCACTAGGGAAGTTTCTCTCTTTTACTTATAATGTCTCTTGGCAATATAGTGTGACAAATTTCATACTAAAGGTATGTCCATTTACTGCTCAGAAGTACAAATTACACTCACCTCTTCTGTGTATAGACTCCGTTAAGTTTTTTGGTGTCATAGAGAAGGAGTTCAGTGTAAGACACCAGGAGAGTCCTAGTCATTTTAAATCATGCCTACGAATACATTTCTATAGACATTTTGTCAGCACAACTCCACTAGCCAGAATGAAAAGAATCATTCTCTGTTTCAACTCATAAACTGGATGTAGTATAAAAAAGGAACAAAAGATGAGTTTTCCTTTTTTTAAAAATTTCCCCACGTTCCATGGTTTTCTATATTCAATTTCTTTTCCTCTCACTGAAAATTATCAGTGGCGACTGCTATACTACATGTGAGATTTCAAAAATGCGGTGTGTCTTCCTAAAGAAATATGCAGCAATGTCATTTGAAGAAATTACTGTGATTAAAGGGAAAAAAGCATGTGCCATCAGTTTTTTAAAAAAAATATAAGAAAGATTGAATAGTTCTCTCCAAAGACTGCATAACCATAATTTACATTTTTCAAAATTATTATAACTCTTTCTAAGGTAGTAGCAATTTGTCTGGTATTTTAATCTATTTTGAGTTAACATCTATTAGCACTTTTTGAAAATGTGAGGCAAATTGCTATGCTAATTAAGGTAAATCACACCATAGTTTCATTACAGTGCTGCCGCTACTACGGAAGGGTGAGGAAAGAACCTTCAGAGTCTCAGATTCAGCTTAACTGACTTGTCTAGACCATCACTGTTTCTTTACCTCCTTATCTTATACTTTTCCCCAGAAAGTTCCAGTTAAGTGTAAGCCTAGGCCTAAATTATCTCCTCAGTAATATCTACAGTTCAAAAAATACAATTTTTGATAAAATTTGCTGAAGAAACTATTTACATTATGTGATTTATATTTCCTCTGTGAGTCATTATAAAATAAGACATGTTTCTTGGTAGCGGCGAAATATTTGATGTCCGAATATAAAAAAATCACACTTAAGAATAAACCACTTAAAGTCACTTGTTTTTTAATGGAGAAAGTTTTCCTACAAAAAGTGAACACTGTTTAAAATACCAGCATCAATGAAATGTACTACATTATCACCAGACTGTAAGCTCCTTGACAAGAAGGAGTATTTTAGTCATCTCTTTGTTTTCAGACCTGCACACACTGTTTAGAATAGAAGCTCCATGAGACAGGAGTTTTTGTTGTTCTTGTTCACTGCCAAATCTCTAGCACCTAGAATATGCCTAGCACATTGTATGTGCTCAATAAATATTTGTTGGCTAAGTTGATATAGCTGTTGTTCAATGAATATATATTGAATAAATAAAAAAGTACCAAATAATCCT